CAAGAGTTTTAGAAACTGCAGGTTCAAGATGGCTGGATACTATTGCTTGTAAATAAATTTGCTTCTGATTCCCTAGCTTTGAAAGAAAGTCCACATTCCTTAATTGTGAGCTTTATCCCTGTGTTTTCAAATACGAAAACCTGTGGTCTGAACCTGGTATGAGCAAGTGGTGTCTTTGTGTGTGAACACTTCCTGTTTTCATTCCATGATCAAATATATTATTTGCAGCACAACTGGGGGAGCTCTTGAAGGTGGCAAGTGGAGGTGCCTGGGAGCTTAACTGAGCACACTAAGGGATTGTTGGTGTGGAGGGGTTTTCAGGGTTATGAATAAACCGTCAGCCTGGGTCTTATTTCTTGCTGCTTCTTTTCTATAACTATCTTTTAAGTAGAACAAGAACAGTTGTAATGGCAGATTTACTTTTTATGATAGCATGATGTCCAAGTGTCAGTGCGGGAACTGACTTCCCTGGGATGTCCCTCAGGTTGGTTGGTGTGCTGTTTTGTTATGTGTTACCCGGGGGCATTGTCCAGCAGGACACATCTACTTCCCACATGTTCTTCCTTCGTCTTTTCTTCTCTGCCTGAGCAACCAGGCAGGCAGACATCAACCAATCGCAGACGGAAAGAATAGTATACGATAGACAGTCTTTTGTTACTTGGATTTCTGAAAACAAAACATGGCGTGCAACAGACATCCATTTCCCAAAAGTTTAAAGTTAGGGTGGTTTTTTTAAGTCATTGTTTTTTTCTTTTCTTTTTTAAGGATATCTTGAAAACTGCTGAGTAGAAAGTAGAAACTAGCTACTTCGCAGCAGATTAAGCAAATCCTAAGTGTTTAACCTCCGAAGACGAAAAGGCTTCCATTTAACGAACAGCCTTCGGGTTACGCCTGTGCTGCCTCTTGGCATCTGGTTTCAACAGTTTTCTCAGAAGAACCAGTTGGCTGCCAGTGTATCACCTTCACCCCTCAAACTGGTGCTGCGCAGGACTATTTTAACTGTTACAGTTGTCGCGGGGCTCGTTCCTCCAAGAAAATTGAAGGTTAATGATTTTTGTCATATTGAGACAAAGATTTAACAATTGCTACAGTTCGCCTTTGTTGAGGTGCGGTTCTTTTTGCCTCCGGGTCTTTTGAGGTATTCAGAATAGGTGACAATGGCTTGCAGTTGAGAACATATGTAGAGAGACCCCTGTGGCTTATTGGAAAAAGTTGCTTCACGCTGGTTGGGTGTTTGGAGGGGGAAAAAAAATACAACCCGAGTTCTTTTATGTTCTGCTAGTTAATGAATGCATGAATGTCAAAATGGGCCAATGGCCCATTCAGGGGGCAAAGCCTAAGCAGCCCCCTTCTTTAAGAACCCATCCTGATATGCAAAATACATTTGCTTAACAAATTAAAATAATGAGATAATTCAATTAGCTTCTTTTTTAAAAAAAAGAAAAGAAAAAAGGGTACATCGGGGATTATTGTAATACAAGAACAGGTCATACTGCACAATAGGGAACAAACCAGTTTGAAAAATGTTAAAGAGACTAATAATGAAAGAATGCCCATGGATTCCTGAACTTGTAAAGAAATTTACATGAAATAATAATTTAGACTGCATCTATTTGCAGTGAACTAGAGCCAACATTTCACTCTGAAAGTTGAAATTAATTAAATGACAGAAAATATATACCAGGGCCTCTCTTATTTCAGAGGGCTTCCTCAAGCCTGTTGGTGCACGTAAGAAAGGAAGTCTAAATTAACATGTCGCTAGTTAGGGGTCTCTATTCTTGGTTCCTGGGCTCAGAATTACAGCCCAGTAAATCTTTCAGACCCAGCAGCTCATTAAAGATGGCAGGGTAACTGTTTTACAGGACCATCCTCGTCAACGCTGCTGAACCTCTACTCTGCAAGTTGGGGTGAAGTCGAGATGAAGAGGGAAAGGATTGTTCAAAAGCAATGCTGAGGAGGATTTCCTTAAAACACAAGGGAGGTGAGGGGGGGGCAGGAAGATCAGGAGACAAAGCAGGTGGGAGAAAGTAAGGAGAGGGGCATGTTGCGCAAGAAGGGTCATAGGGAGGATTTTTTTAAAAGCTTACTGAAAAATTCAAAGAAAACAGGAAAGGAAAAGCAGGATGACCAGAAGGCGAGAGGAGAGCAACGCTCGGACATCGTAGTCCTGAGTGCAGCATGAGAGTCGTAGTCCTGAGTGCAGCCTCAGAGCAGGCGTCAAAGGCAACTGCACATCCTGCAGCTTGTGCCTCTTGCCCTCAAGACGGGGAGCGACAAGTCCAGCTGATTTCACAGACTGACCGAAGTCGATGGGGAACTCCAAACCAAACTCTGCCATCAGTCAGTGCTGACTCAGAGGGACCCCTGTGGGTCCGAGACTGTAACTGTTTACTGGACTGAAAGCCCCGTCTTCCTCCCGAGAGCTGTTGGTGGATTCGAACTGCCAATTGTGCGGATGGCCGCTCAACACTGACCACTCGTGAACTTAAAATGCAACCTTCCTGACCACCCTGTTCAGCTTATTTGAGTACTCTCTCTCCCCCACTTGGAGGGCACGCTACGCCAAGCCTTGCGCACACTTGGCTAGATGGAAGCACCTTCGGGGTGGGGAGAATGCTTGCAGCACCTCGCAAGGCCAGTGAGAGCAGAGCCAGGGCCCGGAACAACCAGCACACACAGCTCAGGACGACGAGCACAAAAGGCACCATCCTGGACAGGAAGTCGGAAGATCAGGCACTCACACGATAAGAGCCAAGGGCTCCTGATATTTCCCCATGGGACTCAACTCCCACATGATTGGCAGGGAGGGAAGAGCTGGTTGCAGAGAGCAGTACAAGCAAGTCTTCTCCACAGGGAAAGCTGGGGGCTTGGGGAGGGGGCGGAGAAAAGAGCCCCTGCTCCCCAACCTCACACAGCCCCTCTTAGACTCTGTGCTTATTGGTGGCAGAGGCCAGGAGATTCATCTGAAACCGTTCAAGGTGGTGACGGCTTCTGCCAAGTCATCCGACGTCATGTGGTGGGAAAAACACAGCGTGGGGAATTCAGCAGTCTTGGGTCCTGGTACCAGCTTGACCTGGCCCCAATTACTGCCCTCTCTGGGTCTCCGTTTCCTCATTTGTAAACAGAGCAGCCAAATTCCCGAAGCATTTGATTTCGATTCCTGAACGTCAGGTAGATGTTTGCTTGGGAAGCAGGGGCTGAAGGAGGGGGCCTGCTTGGTTTGGGGTTGGGTGTTGGCAGCGGGGACCCAGAGAGGTAGCCCGTGAGGGAAACTGGAAAGATGGCAGCAGACAGACAGGTGAGCTCGTGGGGATCGAGGAGCCACGTGCCTGCCGTGGGCAGAGCCCTGAGCTTCCTGGGTTGCAACTCTAACCAAATCAACCTTCGGTTACAAGCATGAAACCCCTGCCCTCACACTCACTCCGACTTCCAAATTAAAAACATTTTACAGGTTAGTAAATCTCCAGCTGAGGTGATGTAGCAAACGACAGCTGTGAAGTAATTTTGATAATGATGAGAATAATAACCACATGGCAAGGTTCAGGGCTTTGCTGTCGCAGCTTCAGTGCTCCTGAATAGATAAAAGTGATTAAATCCTCCTGATTATCCCTGACCAATATGTAATGGATTTACAGCCCTTTCAATTAGTCACTATTTGCTTAGGACTCATTATTTTGTCTTTGGTTAAGTAATCAGCCCAGAGACCGCATGTTCTGTCTAATTCCTCTGAGCCGAGTCAGCGAAGGGCCCTGACCTTTGAAATGGCCATAGCTTGCACGGCAGGAATAACCATTGCCCAGGCAGCGGCGTGGGCTCCCCCAGCTAATCCTAACACCGCTGGCCGGATCGATACACCTTAGTTTGCTACTAATGTCCTTACATCAAAATGGCCTATTTAGGAATGTGAATCTTTCACTTGTCCCTCCCCACACCCGCTCCACCCCTTGCCCTTTGTCGCTGGGCTAGAGGAGAGCTGATCAGCAGCCAGCGCCATAAATAAGAGTGACACCTTTTCCTGGACTCATGACACTGCAACTAATGTCATTCAGCATGGCAACACACAAGTTGGATAATCAAAGAAGACCTTCTGCTTGCAATGTGCGACTCGATTTCGAAGCATTCTTCTACATAGGCCTGAAAATAATATTATAGCAAGAAAGCTGCAGAAATATTTACCATCTTCCCCGTATTTCCCTATGCACAGTAAAATCTAAGTTCCTCTCTCAAAACAGATTGTGACTTTGTTTTCTCCCGCGAGAGTCGCAGAGCCAACGGTGTAACAAGGACACACAGAACCAAAGGCACGCAGTAGGGCAAAGATCCACTGTCACCGAGAAGACGCTGCACGGAGCTAAGGCCTCGCCGGAAGTGACTCGGCCTGGCTGTGAAAAGAGGGACCCTGAACAGCTCAAAAGAAAACAAAACAAAACTGCTGATCTCCACCTTAAACAAAGCAGCACAGCACCTATAAAACCCTTCTACGTTTGTCACACCAGTACATGGCATGCTTGCAGGCAGCTCTGGTGATTCCAGTTGCACCAGACACTGGCAAATTGGACATGCATGTGGAAGGTACTCTTTTTGCTTCCTAGACTAGATGGGATCTGTCACCTCCAGTGTCAGCAGCAATACCTGTGGGATCCCTTCCTTATAGCTCGTTCCCCCAGCTGGGGGCTGCAGTCGCCCGATCTGGGCTCACTCTGACGTACCCTTGAAGCAGAAGTAACACATTTCCTCACAGATACCATTTAGGGTTCTAGAGCATCTTGGGTAAGATCCACACCTGACCTGTACTGGAAAACAGACAGGAAAATAATGCTCCCTTCCAGAGGATGCTCTCTGGAAGGTGACAGGTGCTTGAACCATCCACAGCTAGTCATCCGATTCCAAGAAAGAAAGACACCTGCTTCACATACCTACATATTCGTCTGAGCCACTGCCACTTGCCAGCAGACAGCGAAACAACAAAAAACGTTTGGACTCTTTTCATCTTGACTTACTGTGAGATGCTGGAAGAGCCATGCTCTCATGATATTTGTTGCTACTTTGGGGAAAATGCCTCTTTTCTTCTGTCGTTTTTTGTCCTTGTCCGGATCATCGTCGTCACCTGTACCAGGTGAAGCTACACTGTTGTCTAAACCATCCCCTAGTAAAAAGAAATAAAATGCATTAAGAGAACACATAGGGAGGGTGCCAACAACAACGTGCAGCTAATGATGAGCTCAGCTAAGCTTGTTGAAAGAAATCCATTAAGCGGGTATATTCCCTTTCATTAAAGTATAATTGGAGACACAAATATGTAAAAGACAAAATTAAACCAGGCCTCTTCAAATGTTAATTTTGTGTGTCTCACACTCGCCCATATCATTAATTCAATTATAATTGTGCGCTTGACACAGTGCAGTAGCTCTTTGTCAATTATGGAATCCAACGTGGGAAAACCGCCCTAGAAAACCCATTCGGTGCAAACGCATCCCCAGCCTATAGTGAGCACTGGCTGCAGGGTCATGGAGTGAAATGTTCTGTGGTCTATATATTCTAGGCTGCCTGCATAGGTGACAGTAACGGTGTCACTGTTCGTTGCACATAACACGCTCCCTGCTCAGCCCCTCCCAGAACTGTCACCTCCCGGGCACACACCCAGTGGCACACTCCACTTGCCACCCTGCACCCAGCATCTGCATGACATGAAAACTTGTAGCTTCCCGCACCACTGATCATTATCATTCAGAAAGAAAAGAGAAGAAGCACCTAAAGGTAGGGGCTTACTTCATCAGAAGTTTCTATCAACATCTTTCTCTTCTGTGCTTTTCCCTGGCATTAATTGTGCATTAGCAAAAATCATTTACTTTTAACAGTCATAGTTATTTTTTCTTGCCCTCCGGCAAAAATGCCTTGAAAGCCTGCCTGGAGGGCATCTAAATTATGTATCTGAAAAACTCTTCTGGCAAGGCATTGCAGGACCCCTATTTTCTTAAAATTCATACGAGCACGTCTTCCTGTTTTGGGGAAGGCATCAATCAAGAGCAGCAATATATGCCACATCCCTACATTAATATTTGAACTAATAACTTTAAAAAAGGGAAAGAAACAAGATCCGACTTGTGGCATAATCAAATGCAAAATAAATGAAGAATACTGGGACAGCACGGGGGCTTTATAGATAGCTGTGTTTTCCTTGCACATCATTAGCCTGGAGCCACACGAAAGAGGCGAACAGAGGAGTGGAGAGTTTCTGCTCCCTGCTGGTGTTTCAGAAGCCAGGGTCCTGGAAGGACATCTGGGAATTGCGCTGAGATGGGGGGTTTGTAATTTAAGAATAGACATTCATTAGCAGTAAATGCCATAAATCCCATGCTAAGTAAAAACCTTGTCCAAGAAAGCCTAAAACAATAAACTCCATGCTCAATGTAGCCGGGGCTAGACACTCTGTAGCTTCGGGAGGAATGCTATAGATCCACCAGCTCGTTCCTGCACTGGCTCCCTTCTCCTCTGAGAGCCTTCTAACTCCCTGCCTGCCCACCCGGCCACTCCTGGTCTAACTTCTGGGTGCACTCTGTGAGCTTCTCTGTACCTGTGTTTTTTCCTTTCTCGCCCAAATAATAATAACAAACAAACAAAAGCCTTCAACCTTCTTTGACCAGAGAAGCAAAAAAGCCACAGCAAAGGGCTGGCAGATTAATTTTATTGACATTTCCATTTTCACTGCAATGCCATGCCCTCCATCACATGGGAGAGATGACCCTCACTAGTCACAGACTGACAGCCACTTCATTCCACCACCCTGCCCCAGGCAGAGCCGTTCCTGCCATCTGCCCAAACACCAGAGCATGACCCCGAAGTTGTTCTCTTTTTCTTTGCCTTCTGTTACGATGTTAAAAAAAAAAAAAAAGTGAGCCAAAGGGACCCCAAATAGTCAAGGAAGTAACCAGAGTGCAGGGAAACAAAAGGCATTTGGCTTTCTGAATGCTGTGCCTCTAGAGGTTAGTCTTCATCTGTCTACCCTCCCTGCACACACATGTACATGAGGGGGTTGCTTGCACAGGGGCCGAGTGCATACACAAGCGAGCGCGCGCGCGCGCGCGCGCACACAGACTCAAACTCCACTTGGGGACACACACACTCTTTCCACCATGCCAAGGAACTGCTGCAAGGCAAATCCTCACCCACACTAATGGTTTCTGACTGCTCCTTGCCAACCCTCGCATCGTAACCTGGGCGGATGTGCTCTCCGACAGACAGACACTGGAGCGGTCTCATCAGCTGCTCATGTGACACAGATGGAGAGTGGCTATTAGCAGCCAGCCAGTGGGCCTTGGGGATCTGAGGTGCTGTTCTGTAGCCCGAGGCGATTTTGAAAAGCAGTACCCGGAGATGAGGGGGGGAAAAATCCACACTGCAAGTGCAAGTTTGAAGTCAGTCGGTCTGTCTGTCTCCCGACTATGGATAAAGATATCTTTGTCTGCTAAGGTAAATCCATGTGGGCTCCCTGGATGTACATTTCATATAATATATGTATGGAATATCTCTTCTTTCAATGTCTTCCAAATATAAAAACATACTCTGTAAACAATGCCTGTGTGTATATATTTCTTCCTAAGCACATATGGTTTCTGTGTATATATTTAAGCTGAAATTGTCAGGATTTTGTTAAAATCTCATTTAGCTTTTTTTTGGATACATTTTTGAATATCCTTATTTTAAAAGGTTAATGGCTTAATTGAAGTAAATTCAACCAAAAAATAAAAGGGTGGGGGGCATTTGCCTTTTTAGGCCATTCAATGACCTTAAAAATGAGAGCCTTTCCAAAGTGCATTTTCTCTTTGCTTAAAAGCAAATAGGGCTGGCAATATCTCCGAACTCTGTGATTCATGACCTTCAGCTCAGGAGAAAAAAATAAAGCTGGTTGGTGCATCCTTTGATGATTGACTTACACTAGAAAAGACTGGTGCATTACATGAATTTTGAGATAAAGCAGTCCATTTTAGACCAAAGTTGTAAGATACTTGAATTTAAATCTACTGCAATGAAAAATTATAATGAAAAAATGTGTCTGTTTATAAAAACAAGCAGACACTAGATTTTTATTAGGGAACATTTTAGTCTCCTCAATGCAACACTAAATACCACTGTCCCCACCCCACCCCACACACGGGCTTGTGAACCAGCCCCAGCAAGGATGATGAGCAACAGCATCAAGAAAACATTCAGAGAGGCAACTGGGTGAGGAGCAATCTATATGAAATTTCACAGATGATGCTAGATTCAGTACCCAAATAAACATCGTGTTCTTGCTTGATGGCTGTGTGTACATGTATGTGCGTGTGCATATGTGTGAGAGAGTTGGCAATCCTGGACACATCTGCAAAATCGAGTCTGTGTGCCAAAAGGGGTATGTATACCAGCACAAATACCAGCAGTCCCACATGCCAAAGAGGGTATGTGAGGTATTACCGTGTGTGTCAGCATCTGGAGCTGAGATTCAAAAACTGCAAAATCCTTCAGGGCAGGAGCTGTTTCTTCTTTATCTTTCCATCTTGATAGGACATCTCTGTCCCCGAGTGGGAGCAGAGATCCAAGGATGGTCTGTTGATTGACTAAGTGACTGAACTCATCAATGAGTATATTCAAGGTCCAAGGAAAGATGAGCAGCCCGCCCTCTCTTTTTGAGTAATACCCACACTCGTTACCATCCCTAAGAGGTGTGGGACATGTCCTTTGGCGTGGCTGGGTGTGTTGCCTGTTTGCACAAAGTAGCTTCTAATCATGGCAGGAAACAGGCCTTAAAAGTATGGTGCCCAGTAGGGCTTCTTTGAAGGGCTGATTCAAAGACCACTCCATCAGCTCTACCATCTTTGATGATGAAAAACTAAAGAAATATGAAGTATGAATCCTTCAAACAGCTCTGGTGATGCAAACAATTAAGTACTTGGCTGTTGGTTGGTGATTCGAACCCCTTGCCATCAGCTCCATGGGAGAAAGACCTGATGTTCTGCTTCTGTAGAGATTCCAGCCAAGGAAACACATGGGGGAGTTCTGCACGGCCACACGGCATCACTGAGAGTCAAAACGGACTCCGCGACACTGAATAACAACACCCCCTTGACTAAGGAAACAGTCTAAATTTTGGCCAAAGATGCTCAAAGTAGCTGTGCATTCCTGGAACATACTGTAGGTAGCCATGGAAAGGAATACTCAAGGCCTGTGGACAGATCAGTTAGAAGTGATCTAGGTTATCCAGGGAGATATTTAAAAATTCAGGTCTCTAAGCCTCATCCCAGACTTAGTGAATCAAATATCATGGGGTTGTGGGGAGAAATGCATATTTTTCACAAGTTCTTTGGATGTGCTTATGCAATTGTTTCTTGAACTGGCTCTTGGAAGCCATTGGATTAAATGACCTTCTAACATGAAGTGAGATTCAACTTCCGGAACAGATGTAGTTAAAATTCTATTTTAGCCCTACCAATGAAGGTCATGGTGATGATCTACAGCACGTAGGAAAGCCCTGTGTGCTCTATCCCATATACTGGCCAACATGACACAAGCCTGCCTTCATCTTCTGATGATGATGTGCTCCAAATGTGAACCAGTGGTATCAGCATCGATTAAGAAACTGTGAGAAACAGAAATTCTCAGGCCTTCTTCTGATCTACTGAGACTAAAATTCTGGGGGAACCCAATAATCTAGATGTTAACAAGGCCTCCAGGTAATTCTGATGCTCACTCAAGTTTGAAAACCACTGCTGGAGAACACAGACAAGATCCTTTAATCTGCTTGCCCTAGTTGCGGTTGCTCTAAAACCCAAGTCTCATCTCCGGACCCTCCTGTTTTAAGACTTGAAGTGTTTTGAAAGCATCTCCAGTTAGATTTAGACCAGGACATCAGAGCTTCCCATTGCTAAACACACTAAGATAATGTACTTACAAGCAGCTCCAGACTACTTCCACCTATTACAGCAATACTAGTGTGGTGCAGCAAGCTAAATCTGGAGATACCATGAGTATCCAGGGCTAGACATCCTCCTCCTCCAAAACTATGCCCCCAAATAAATTAAGGAAGGGCAGATGAGCACAAGGGAGGGGGTCTTCAGATGAGCCTGAAACACAGATCCCCAAACTACAAATTCTTGCCCTAAAAACGAC